ATTTTATTTCATGATCTTGAAAGCACTGTGTTTTATAATTTCCTTTTCAGATTGATCATTGTTAGTGTATAAAATTGTAACGGATGTTTGTGTGTTGTCTTTGTACCCTATTACTTTGCCGAATTCATTTATTAATTCTAAAATATTTTTGGTGGAATCTTTAGGCTTCTACATCTTTAGAAGGACTCTTTCTACATCTAAGATCATATTATTTGTGAACAAATAATTTAACTTTTTCCATTTCAATTTGTCTGCCTTTTATTTCTCTTTCTTGCCTAATTACTCTGTCTAGAACTTCCAGTTAATAGAATTGGCAAAGGTAAACATTCTTGCCTTGCTCCATATCTTAAAGGAAAAACTTTCAGTCTTTTACCATTGAGCATGATGGTTACTATGAAAATTTCATGTGTGACTTTTATTATACTGAAATAGCTTGCTTCTACTCTTAGTTTTTAGTGTTTTATCATGAAAGGTTTTGAAGTTTGTGAAATTTTTTCTGCATCAATTGAAATAATTTTTCGCCATTAGTCTATTGTACTGATCATTTTATATATTGAACCACTCCAGGAATAAGCCCCATTTGCTCATAGTGTATAATCTTTTTAATCAAACTCAGTTTGCTGGCCTTTTGTGGAGGATCATTGTGTCAATGTGCATAGTGATCATTGGGCTGTAGCCTTCTCTCTCTCTCTTTTTTTTTTTTTGTAATACCTTTTACTTTGCTGTCTTCATAGAATGATTAGAAGTGTCCTCTCTTTTTCAATTTTTTTTGGAAAAGTTTTAAAAGGATTTGGTAGAATTCACCACTGAAACCAATAAGGCCAGTGCTTTTATTCTTTGGAAAATTGTCGATTACTGATTCAATGTCCTTAATAGTTACAGGTCTACCCAGTTTTTTTATTTCTTAAATATTTAGTCTTAATAGATTTTCTGTAACTAAGAACTTGTAAATTTCATTTAAGTTATAAAATTTGTTGACAGACAATTGTTTATAGTACTCATTTATAGCTCTATTTTTTTTTAGAATTGTTAGTAACTTCCACATTTTTATTTCTGATTTTAGCAATTAGAGTCTTTTTTAGTTGTTATCATGTAGACATTTTTCCGTTTTGTTAGTCTCTTCAAAGATAAAGTTTTGGTTTTATTGATTTATTGATTATCTAGTCTCTGTTTCTTTTTCCTCTGTTCAGTCACCTTCTGTTAGTTTTGCATTAGATTGTTATTGTTTTATTGTTTCCTTAAGGTGTAAAGCCATATTAAGACCTTTTTAAGTTTTTTAATGCATGTCTTTATAAATTTCACTCTCAATATTGCTCTGTTGCAGCCCATAAGTTTTTGTATGATGTGTTCATTTCTCTTAAGTGTTTTTTAATTTCCCATGTGATTTCTCCTTTAATTCATTGGTTATTTAAGAGTATATTTTTAATTTCTACAAATTAAGTAAACTTTTCAGTTTCACCTCAGCTGTTGATTTCTAACTTCTTCCCATTGTGGTTATACAAAGTATTTTGTATGATACCCACCTTTTAAAATATATTAATTTATGATCAAACTGATGGTATATGCTGGAAAATGTCCCCTGGTCAGGTGAGAAAAAAAGCATAATTTGTTGCTATTTGTAGAGTGTTAAATTGATATCTGTTACATCTGTTTGGTTTATTGCTTTGTTCAATTCCTACCTTCTTACTTAATTTTTGCTCATTGTCCTGTTATTGAGAGTAGAAAATTCGTCTTTATCTTATTGTGAAGCTGTCTATTTCTCCCTCTTTCCGTCATTTTTTGTTTCATATATTTTGCTGATCTGTTACTAGAAGCATAGATTTTATTCTTGTTATATCTTGTTCCTGTATTGAACTTTTTGTTACTATACAATGTCCTCCTAAATCTAATACTTTTTAAGTGCATTAGTCTCTTGAACTATATAGAAAATAGTATGTGTAATTATGAACCAAAGTTCCAATAATATAAGCATTTAGACTAATATTTAAGTATATATAATATATACATATAAATTCTTAGATCACATAGAAAACATAACATGGAGTTACAAATTGTTTCACAATAAGCTTTTAAAATTACCCATGTACTTAACCTTTTTTTAAAAAAGATATATTTTTTTATTTATGTATGAGAACTGCAGTATATACCAGAGGTGCAGGGACAGTGAGAGGATTCACCAGAGACAGAGTAGGGAACAGAACAGGCAGATCTACAAAGAACACTGCTGAGGGAGCAATGAGTGTGACAGGAGAGGTCTGCTGCGCCATGTGGGTCACCTCCCTGGCTGGGGTTGGAACTCATGCTGCAGGGGCTGTGGATAGCTCCACAGTGCTGTGCTTTTAAACCCTTGCACCACCAGGAAGGCCACAACCATATACTTAACCTTTATTAAAATGTTTACTTCTCTTAAAGCTTTATGTTACTACAGAGTGTCCTCTTATTTCACCCTGCAGGACTCTGTTGAGCATTTTTGCAGAGCTGGTCGAGTGATCATGAACTCCTTCAACATTTGTTTATCTTAGATGTGTTAGTTTTTCCATGTATAGGATTTTTTGGCCAAATATATGACTCTTCATTGATAGCTCTTTTCTCTGAGTAATTTGAATATTTTATCCCACTGACTTCTGGTCTCAGAAGTTTCTGATGCAAACTCTGCTGATAAATATTAAAAATCCCTTGTACATGACAAGTCACTTCATATAGCTTTCAAGATTATCTTTGACTTTCAAAAGTCTGTAAAGTGTTTCAGTGTATAAATCTCTGAGTTCAGCTTACTTGGATTTGCTAGGCTTCTTGTTGTTTATAACATCTCATTCATCAGATTTGGAGTGTTTTTAGCCATTATTCCTTACCTCAGCATCTCTCTCTTTCTCTTCTCCTCCTGAGATTCTCAGAATGTATATGTTTTTCTCCTTGGTGATTTTCCACAGGTTTTAGGTTATGTTCACTTTTCTTCAATCTTTTCCTTTGTGTTCCTCAAATGCAACAATTTCTATTGTTCTGTTTTCAAGTTCAAAGTTATTTCTTCTGCTGGCTCAAATCTGCCTTTGAATCACTCTAGTGAATTTTTCATTTCAATTATTAGATTTTTCTGGCTTTGACTCACTCTACTGAATTTTTCATTTCATTTCAATTATTAGACTTTCACCTCTAGAATTTCTCTTCAATTTAAATTAGGGTTTTTTCTTTATAGGTTTTTCATTTTGCTCCTCCATACCTTTCTTGATCTTATCAAAGTCTTCCTTTATTTCTCTGAGCATATTTAAGAATAGTTGTTTTAAAGTCTTTTTCTAGTAGATCATCAAGTATTTTTCAAAGTCAGTTTCTGTTGACTTTTTTCCCTCCATTAGATAGGTCATACCTTTTTATTCCTTTGAATACCTCATGATATGTTTATTGTTGTTGTTGAAAACTGGATGTCTTAGTAATCACATTCTCTCCCTTGGCCAGAATTTAATTTTTGTTTTTGATTGTTGTAGGCTTTTAGTATGTGTGCCAGGGTCAACCTGAATTTTAAACTTAAGCTCTTCTCAGGCCTTCTCTGAAACTGCCTTTCTCTGGGCATGTCTACTCACTTTCTGTTTTTTTCTACATATATGACTGTTTTGGAATGTCCTTTTCTTGAAATTCTGAATTCCAAAATGGAGGGAGAAAAATGTACAGGAGGAAAGGGCATCAATCTATAAATCCTGTAAGTCATTTTAATCAGAGAATGTCTTGAAAACAGTGGAGAAATATGCAACAACAATGGCTGTCTTCCTTTTTGCTGATCAGAAGTAGCAAACAAGCATCAGTGTACTGGTCCTAGATACTTGGACAAAGTATTTTTTCTTTTTTTGCCTACCCTGGTTCTCATAAGCTGTGAAAAAGTTGTTCGAAGATCTCCCACCTACCACTGAGTTGAAACTAAGGGAGTGAGTAAGTGCCGTTGGGTTACAAGCTGTAATTTTCACCAAAATTAACTGCAATTTATCTTCTAAGATATCTGTTAGAAAGTTGCAAGCCTTCAATAGACTCCAGAGTTCCAAAAGAGTTAAATTAGATTGTATCAGTAATTGTTTAGATGGGGAGACAGGTTCCTGGTTTTCCTACTCTGCCATATTTCCAGAATTCTCTGTGTCTACTGCAAGTTTTTAAAGGACTCAAATTATGATGACTTTCTGATTTCCCTATTTATTTCTTTACTATGTTAAAAAATTATTAATTAGATCTAATGATTTTTTTGTTACTTCATAGCCAAGTTTTATCTTTTTTTATAAAGCAATACATGACTTACTAATTATTTAGTGCATTTAAGAGTTATAAAAAGAAAAATATAATCATTTGTAATTTGAGCTTAGGGAGTCTGGGAAATTTTGTAGATTTTACTCTGTCTCTGTGTGTTGATGAGACATCATAAAATGACATAGGGAAAGTCCTGGACTTTCAATACAAACAGAATTTGGTTCAATACAGTTTAATTACTATTTGACCTTAAACCTTGAACTCAGTCTTCTTATCTCTATTATAAGCATACTAGTGAAATCTGCTAGGCAGATTATTGTTGGAAGTAAGGAAAAAAGAAATTGGAATATTTGGAAATCAATAATCAGTGATAATTTTTATAATTATTTAGATACAAAATTGCACTTTTACAATTTCCTTCACTTTATAAGTTTATTTCATAGACTAAAAATCAAAGTTCTAGACTTTGATTTCCAAGAGTGAAAATCAAAGTTCTAGTGATAGTTTCATAATCCAGCACATAAAATAATTTTTTTAATCTGTTTATGCTTACAGAACTGGGGTACAGTGAGAGGTACGGGGGGGGGGAGGATTCACCAGAGACAGAGTGGGGAGCAGAACGGGCAGATTTACTGAAATACACTGCTGAGGGGAGCAGCAGGCAGGTCAGGCAAGGTCTGCCATGCCATGTGGGTCACTCTCTGGCCGGGAAATTGTGCTGCAGTGTCAAGCACATAAAATAATTTTAAACATACTATTGACTTTCCTTTTAGGACTTCCAAATGCCTTGGAAAGAGAAACTAAAAGAATTTAAAAGGAGGGATAAAGCTGCCAGGGTCATTCAGAATGCTTGGAGAAGTTTCCTTGTGAGTTTATTTCATTCTGTTAGCTTTATTTTAACATAATTTGTATTTTATAAGATTAACCTATTAAAAGTATATAATTTGTGCTTAGTATAGTCACAGAGTTGTATACCCTTGCTTTGAAAACAGGCATCTTCAAGTTTCAAAAAGTTACCATGAATTTTCTTGTTGCCTTACAACACTTTCTGAGTTCGTGATCTAGGCCGAGCACTCAGACAGTGACTCTTGTCAATAGGCTCATTTGGCTTTCATCCCTAAGGGCTTTGTTTCTTGACTCAGGAATCAGTTTTCTGAGCAGGTGTTAGGGTACATTCACACATTAAATATTTATTGTGTATCTACTCTTAAGGACTTAATGTGGGATAGTAGACAGTAGGTTAGTGTATTAATAGATGGTAGTTACTTATCCTGCTCTCCTGAGCTGGTCTCACTGATGTGAAGAGTATTCCAAGCTGATTTCACTGGTTGAGTGAAAAGCAGGTGCTAAAATGACTTCACTTTCTGACAATAGCACTAATTTACCTGTGCCTGATAATTTTGTGTGAATTGATACAGCATTGTTTCTATCAGTCTGGTCTTACAAAAGTAGTTATTATTTGCCTCTTTTGTGCCCACTAAAGCCCTAAAATCTATGCCAGGGCAAATTTATTAATTTTAACATTAAAATGATATTTTTAATCTGCTATTCCTTTGACAGTTTCTATTAGCATACTTGTTGTCTAAGCTTAAGTTTTTTCATCATCTGTAACTTTCCTCCCACAAGCAAATCCAACCAGTCACATACTTTCAAATACTTATTATTTTTATAGTTTTGTGCTGGGCATTTTACAGTCTATCTTTACTCTGAAGGAACATCAGTAAAAAAGTCATGTGTATGAACAAATGTGTATGTGTTTTAATCAAAAGTTAGACTGAGCAAATATTTTCATTTTCTGACCCTCCAGAACCCCACTGAAATGACAATATACAGAAAGTTAACTCATAACAGAGAGAAGAGATTTCATGAGCATATAAAACAGTTTATTTCATTTTCAGATAACCAAAACTGGCTGGTGGCATCCTATTGGATAAAACTATGTAAAAGACTCACCTACACACATTTAAGAGTGACTCCAGTGAAAGAGCTGGTTTGTACATTGTAGATAAGTAGATTAATTGAAGGTCTCTGCTTCAATAACTGTGCCTCTTGTCTCCACTATCACTTTTATACTGAGATTTGCATGTAGGTGGATAATAACTATTAGGGGGGAATTTCCCACATTTTATCTTTCCCAAAAAATTCAAGTAGAATTTTTCTCTCCTAAAGAATTCAAATAGAAAGGTAGTTCTAGTGTGGACTTAACATTCCACAGTAAAATCCTCTTATTTGTAATAGTTGAAACACCTGGCTTAGTTGCTAGTTAGAGTTTCTCTAAGAAATCCTGTTTATTAACTTATTCCACTTAGATCACAGAGCACATACTCAAGAGTAAGAACAACAGAAAATGTGAGACTTACACAAAAGTACAGGATGGATACTCATGAATACTTACACTCCTCCATAGAAAACGGACAGGGGATCAGGGGCAAGGAAGTTGACACAAACTTTCATTTTAAATATTAGTGGATTACCTAACATTTTTTATCTGGCAGTTAAGAAAAGCAAATAATGTAAAAAAAAAAAAAAGAAAGAAAGAAAGAACGTAAAGTAAAAAGAAATAACAGAATCTTAGGGAAATCCCTCAGGAGTTGTATCTGGAGATAAAATTGTATCCCATACATGATTGAGAATTTGAACTGAAAAAAAAATTATTTTGTTTGAAACCCTGAAAGAGTTAACTATGAAGGTCTTGGTTCAAATATAATGCAAATTAAAATAGTCCTAAGATACAAAGAGAATACATCTGATCTTAATTCAAGATATATTCTTGGCCCTTGTGGTAGATAATTTGCATAGCAGTATAAATAAATTCACATTTTCTGTTATTTTAAACATTTTTGTCAAAATAATATGTGCATTTCTTGAAAGCAAGTAAAATAATGTAGACAAATTTATAATGACAAGAAGTCTTTTAGCCCACCCCGCTTTTCTATACCTCATATCTTAAAGACAACCACTTTTAGCTATATTTTGTTTTAGATATTCTGCTACTTCCATGCTTCTACCTAATATGTTTGTGTCATCATTTTTTATTTGTAAACCTTAGGAATGATATGTTAACTTCTGCATTGAGAACTAATTTTACTTACTCTCCACTGTTCTGCTAATATTCTCTCCTAGTAACACATGATTATTCTTTATTTCCTCTATTTGTTAACCTTACTGCTGTAAAGACTATTTAAACCTTTGTTTCTTGTTTTATCACAGAAGCATAGAATTCCTTGACTCTTCATCATATCTGATAAGGATATAAATGTTATTATTAAAAATAACTATAACCACAATAATTTGATGTTGGATACACAAAGTAAAAAAATTATAAATTTTAAATCAATAGGCTAAATGGTGAGTGGGGAATTAGCAATATAGAGTTTCTGTGTATTGTTGAAGTTAAGATGTTATCAACTTGAAAAGTTATGTTATAACTAAGGTATGTTATGTAAGCTTATGGTAACCACAAAGGTAAAAACCTATAGTAGGCTGTCCTTGGTGGCACAGCGGGTTAAAGCACAGCACAAAGAAGCTTAAGCCACTTCCGCATGAGTTCGATCCCTGCCTGCCCAGAGGTGACCACATGGCGC